TTGGTTTTGTTTTCCTGTCACGTGTAGCAGGCTCAGTTATCTGGTGCGTCTGATCATAGAGTTCCCGTCGATGTTTGTCCGAAAGCGTATAGAAGGCCTTGCTTACCTCACCAAACTGTTGTCGGGCTGTATTCAACAGACGCTTGTCCTTAGCTGTGTTTGTGGTCTTCTCGTAGATCTTCACTTTCTCCTTGTACGCATGGACGATTTCTTCCTCTGTGGCATCAGTGGTCGTCCCTAGGAGCCGATAAAGCTCTCCGGGTGCTCGGGCGTCGGTTTCCATGTTGTCGCTTGGGTCGACGGCTTGGGTCTTTGTTCAACTGTTGCCGATATTTTCAAGCAGAAATTTCGCCTCTATAACACCTCAAATCCAATAAACTTGGCAAGACTGTCAAGATATTGGATGTATTTACCTATCGTATTAATCAAGACGCGTTTATAAGCGCAAAATTGTCGTAAAGGTAGGGAAAAATACAAGTTCAAGCGGAGCGACCCGACAGACGCGTCTGCCTCGCCGCCATCTTGAATAAAAGTTATCATATAAATGTGTTGCCTCTACCGGGAGCGGCAAACTGTTCTCTCCAGCAGACCAACTCCCCCGGCATCCTATCTCTCTATTTGGCCGATTTCTACTCTTCCCAGCCGCCTCCCGAAGCCTGATAGAGGCTAATAAACGTGTGGCGCTGGGTTTGCTCTAATGTTGGGGCGCAGCTCACACAATTCTGAAGTCCGAGGGGATTCGTCTCCACCAGGTCCAGACTCTTTTGCAGGCTGAATAAAAAGTAGCAATCGGCCTAAAAATAATGTAGCTGGCCAGGGGAGTTGGCCGGTCATAGAAGGTCCAGTTTGCCTGCACTGGGCCCCCTATGAGTACCTGCAAGGAGGGGGGGGGTAGTGATTACGAATTACGCAAAATTTTCGCCGCCTATTACGAATTACGTTAAAGTCTCAGAGCTGATTACGACTTTACGATTTGCGGCTAATGTCCAATTACGAATTACGTTGATTTTTGCGGAGGCTGCCGACGAATTACGAAGTCTAAAACGGCCTGATTACGCCTTACGAAAAAGGGCTTGCAGGCCTTCCCCTATGGCGGCTTGCACCAAAGCCGGAAAACTTGAAAACCCAAACCTCTGCTTGGAGAGTAACAGCGTGGCCTGGATCCTTGTTGTGTTGCTAATTGTTATCGATGTGCGTGAGGAGGTCACGTAACTTCATTTTCCGCAGGTCGGCGTTCCTCGCGCGGCTGACAGAAACATTTTCCCATCAGCGGGTCCAGGCAGCGGGTCCTGATGTACTAGTATCTGCACCGGCAGTAGCACACAGGCAGCGGGTTCAGGCAGCGGGTCCAGGCAGCGGGTCCAGGCAGCGGGTC